GATAGTACTAATGAATGAATTCAAAATATAATTATAAGATAACACATTATATTAAGAAATAATTAAAAACAAATACATTTGATACAAAAGAAATATAATTACTACATTACAATATGAATAAATCAAATAAAGGAAATAGCAATAAACAAGAAATATAAAAGAATAATAAGAAATAAAGAAATGAAAGAGAAGTAATAATAAATAAAGTGAAAATAGAAAATAAATAAATTGAATATATAAAAGAAAATAATAAGAAAGAAAATGAATTAAATAGAAAGAGAGTATATAATAATAAAATAAAAATATATAAATTAGAAAATGAAGAAAATAGAATATCCAAATGAAAAGAAAGTAATGAATTTTAGAAAAGAACATATTCATAAAACAAAGAAATAAATATAGAAAATGAATATTTAAATAAATATAAAACAAAACAAAAGATAAAAAAATATAGAAATATCAAAAAAAAAAAAAAAAATAATAACAAAGAATGATTATAAAAGAATAAAAAGAATCTCAAATTGGAAACCATATTGTATAGAAAAATGCAATAATTGAAGAAATTACTGATTAGTTGAGAAATAATTATTAAGAGATTTGAAGAAGATAAAAACACAAGAAGAAACTACAAATAATAACAAAAAGAACAACTTTAATATACAAAATGATGATAATACAAAATCATAGAATATTAATTTCATGTTTAAATGGAAATATGAAAGTATTCAAATTATTAATCAAATTGAAAATAGAAGAAAAATAAAAAGAAGTGATGAGAATTACCAAATTAATAAATCATAATACCAATGAAAGCAGAACTATTGAACAATAAAAGAATAAAACATGAAAAGTATAATAAAGAGAATTGAAGAGATATTTAGAAATATTTTATGATGTAAAGAAATATTATGGATAACTGAAACATAAATTGGCATTAATAACATTCAATTGTTTTAATTTAACTAAAAAAACATAATAGAAATAATAGAAAGTATGAACAGTCAATAGAGAATAAAAATAAGATACGATTATACAGAAATGATTAGAAACATTAAACTTGAATATAGTATCATGCATTGAGATTCATTATCATCATTATTAATCATTTATAAATCGAGTATTGTTTCAAAATTATTATACAGAATCAAAATAAGTGATAAAAGAGTAGAATATGTATTATATATTGATGATATGAAGATAATAAATATAACAAAAGTATTGAAATAACAGTTAATAAAGTAATAAATATAATAAAATGAATAAGAACTGAAATTAATATAAAGAAATATAGAATAATTAGAAGTTAGAACATAACAATAACAAATATTATGAAAGGTGTACTAATATTTGATGAAAATAACTTATATAAATATTTATGAATATTCAGATATACAAAGAATAATAATAATAATAAAGAATTTATTAAGAATATAACACATGATATTATGAAAAGAAAGTATAAATCAAATAATGAGAACAACATAAATTATATAAGAAGAAATAATACAGAAATAATACTATTATTCATATATTCATCATCTATAATCAAATTATCAATAACTAAATTAGTTCAAATAATCAGAAAAGAAATGTATAATTTACATATAAATCCAAATGAATCTGTAGAATAAGATTATATATTAAAAAAGAAAATAAAGGATATTGAATAATATCAAGCAGCTATGAACATGATATAGAACTATTAGAGTAATATAATTCAAATGAAGAGAATGAGATAAATTAGATAAATTAATTAAAATGAATGAAATAATTGATAATGAATATATTTTATAAAACATGAAGAAAGAGAATAAATAAAAAGAAAAAAAGAGAATATGAGAAAGAAGAGAAATATACAAAAAATAAATATAATTATTAAACATATAAAGAATATATTCCATTATTATTTTTTTATATTAATGGAAAAAAGAAGAATAATAATGGAAAAATTATAAATAATTTTAACAATTAGATGATAGACAAAGAAATAACAATTAAATATTGAATAAATATACAAAGAAATTGACATAAGTTATTAAAAATGATACAAGAAGAATCAAAAATGCTTGAATAATGCAAAATTGAAATATTATCAAATATTATCAATGTAAAAATTATGTGATAAAATAACAAGTATAAATCATAATTATTAAATTGTATTACAACAAAGAAATGTCATATTGAAAAGTATGATATAATATGCGAATATAATTATACAATATTAAAAATAAATATAATATATTTATAAATGATATAATAAATCAACTGGGGAAAAGGATAAATAAAAAATATGAAAGAGAAAAAAAGAATTATGAAAATAGAAAAAAAGAGATACTGAATGTGTTGAATAATGAAAATATGAATAAAAAAGAAATAAAGTTGTACAAAAAAATAAATATTTATATTAGATATTCAAAGAACAAATATACACTTATCATAAATATGAAAATAGTATGAAATGAAAATATAAGTATACTAATTAAGAACAAAATGAATATGTATTATGTATTTCGAGAAAAAAAATAAGAGAATAGAACGAATGATAAAAATAATAATAATACCAGTTGTAATAATAATATTGATTAACAAAGAATCAAGAAGATTATTAGAATATATTTAAATAAAAATACAATAGGAAATAATGGTAAAAGATATAGTTAACAAATACATAAAATATTTAATGAAATATTATGGCTATCATTGTTGTAAATATATGAATATAGTGAACCAGAAGAAATAATCTCATATGAGAGTTGATAATAGGATATGATCCCACATGAACAACACACAGAAGAATTTTTTTTCTTGAAACATAATTAATTTAAAAATTCTTATTTTATTTTCTTTCTTAAAAATAATAATAGTATATAAGAAAGAATAAAAACATTAAATGAATTAAATATTCAAATTCATAATAAAAAATATAATTCATACAAAAATAGTATCAATTAAAAGAATTATCAATGTATTTTAATTATGAAAATATTATAATTACAAAAAACAATAATATATAGATTCTTTAGAAATTCAAGTATAAATCTAAATATTAAATTATATTCCCTATAATCTATTTTGATAACACATTTTATTTTTTTATATTAATATCATTATTTATTGAATTTTCTTTTTTATTTATTAATTAAATAATCACTCATTTAATTATACTATTTAATAAATCTTTATTAACCTAATTAAATTTATTAATTGTTTATTAGCCATTTTCTCTCATGCACTACAATACTATTTATTAAAATTAATTTTATATATTATTTTTTTGATCATCTTGTATATATAATGTTTATTTACTTTTTAATTATAACAACCTCTATTATAACTATTAATTATATTAATTATACACTTCTCTAATTTAATAAAATTTTAATTCATGCATCTAATACAATAATAAATTATAACCTTTATGGTATTTTTCATTATCATTTTATTCTTCTTTAAGAAATAATAATAATTATAAAATATCAAAATTTTACAAAAAGCTAGTAAATTCATTACGATTGGTTAAAATAATTATTTGTGATAATTTGTAGTTCTTTTTGAATTTGAACCAAAATATTTACATCATCTGTGCTAAAAACAAATTAAACTTATTTTTGTATAAAAAAAGTTAATTTTATTTTAATTTTTACCAGTTTATAATTTTTTTTTGAGATATTGTTTATGA